ATTTAAAACAAAATTAATTGATAAGATATTTTCTCTCCTAAAATCATTCCTTTAAAACTTAAACCAAAATTCTGGTGCAATCTATTCACGAGATGTTCTCCTTTAGCTTTATCAACAAGATATTCCAAAAATAATATTACCTTCAAAATATAAGATTTATTGAGAATTTATTAGAGAATATGTTACTTCTTAGCTTATCATGCAAGCTAAATCATTGAGAAACGTCCATCAATTTACTATAAATAAGACATTCACAGTAGAAGAAATGAAATCATTGAACTTTGTAGTCTGAACTTTTTATGTTAATAATGTTCTAAACTTTTTTTTTCTTCTTATTTTAGAACATTAAGCTTTTATATTTCATGAGAGCTGATTTTTCTTTTGGTTTATATGCAGATATCCTATTATGACGATTTCTCCACTGAAACTATATATGATTTGATTGTACACCTCTTTGATATATCATTTCGATAACATCTTTGTTCATCAATCTGGTAAAAAAAAATTCTCTATTTGATAACATCTCTCAGCTATATCATTTCAATAGCATCTTTTTGTGCTGCCAATACTTTTTTTTATTAGTAGATTTATATTATTGTTTAGAATTATAAGCTTATATATACATATATATCTCTTTGGTTTGCTGATTGTGATTTTGTTTAATGATCTTTTTTAATTAAAATTGATATATTTTTTGGTTTGCAATTATATGATCTTTTTAATTAAAATTAAATATATATAGTAATATTTATTAATCAAAAAATTATATCAACTACTTTTTATATTTATTATTTCCTTATTATATATCATTTAATATTTAAATATCTGTAGTTTAAATGTAATTTACCTTAATGTTTTTAGTTGATTAATGACCTACCTTATTTTGAACACATATTACTTGTGCAACTTCAAATTATATTTATTCCATTGTTTTACTTCAATTTAACTTAATGTTTCTAATTTGTTAATCGTCTTTATAAACTTATTTTGAACACATATTACTTGTGCAACTTCAAATCATATTTATTACATTGTTTTAATGCAATTTACCTTAATGTTTCTAATTTGTTAATTCGTTTTAAAAAACTTACCTTGTTTTGAATATGATTTAATTGCACAATTTTATAACATATTAATTTTAAATCATTTAATGACAATATAACTTTAATATCTTTCTTTTAACTGTTTCATTATTTATTATGAAATTATATTCCTAAACATCATTTGTTATGAAAATATCTCCCTAATAACATTAGAAAAAAGGAAGGTAGAGTATATATAAAGGAGACACCTAAGGGATGTCAATACTAACTTATTAGTCTATTTTTATTCGATAAAAAATTTAAATTTATAAATTCTTACATTTGTTTGTTTTTTCTATTAACAGATAAATAACACAGACGAAATACCGGTTGTAGTTAACTACAAATCATTTATCAGTTTGTTTTAATAGTGATATGCAAATTTAATATTATTTTGTCTCAATAAAATTTAGAAATCTATTAAATTATTTTATATAGTACAGTTGCTAACAAATTTGACAATTTTTTGCAGGTTTCTAAACTGTTCTTCTTATTTTATATTTCTTATTTAATTCACAAGATTGATTGGTAATAATTAAGAATGATTTATGTTAACGCATTAAATTCAGAACATCTATATAGCAATAAAAAGAATGTAATAACTTATCGTGCAACCATATCAACACTGTTATATATATCTTACATTTTCTTATGGTTTACATTTTAAGTTGCTTATTTTCTTCAAAGCTTAATCATGACGTTTTTTAGAAAAAATAACTTATGTGCCTGTGTACTTAAAAAAACTAACAAAATATGAATGTCTATTTTGAGAATCTAAAACAGAGATATGGAAAAAAATAACTTATTCTGTTATCTGCAAGGACTATGATGAAGAAAATATTGAAGTTATTAAAGAAGCATGTTATTGGGCATCAGCAAAGGATGTACGCAAGCTGTTTTGTGTCATATTACTAACACATAGTATCACAAATCCAGAAAACGTTTGGAATGCTACTTGGAAAAAAACTATCACAAGATATATTATGCAACCAAAGAAAAAATACGGATAAACCAAGTAAACTCATGTTTTTATAAAAAGAAAACGTCATTAGAAATTGTGTTTGGGTAAATATAATTTTTTACATGTTCTTTCAGACTTGGAGTAGATTGAATCAATCATGCTTTTGAATGGAAGCTCATTGACGTTGTTTAAGTTTAGAACGTGTTATCAATAGTATACTCTTCTATTGGTTAAGCTGTGGCTTTTGTTAGAATTTCTATTAATTGAATTTTTTGTTTTACTTTTGTGGAATTATCGTTATTGTAATGTTATAAATTAATAATAAAAGCATTTTCTCATTATTGTCGTATAAGTTCTTCAGTTTTATTACATCTTCTTTTTCATAGTATTTTCTTATAACTTTTATTAGATCACTGAAACAAAAAGTGAATTGATGTATCAAATGTACTAATCTTTAATTACCTTATTAAATTCCATTGTCCCAAAATCAGAATAACGAGAGAGAGAGAGAGAGAGAGAGAGAGAGAGAGAGAGAGAGAGAGAGAGAGAGAGAGAGAGAGAGAGAGCGAGAGGGATATGTGTAACATTTTTTTTAATCTGTCTACATACATTTTACGAAAAATTTATGCATAATAATATTTTTCACCTAAAATTAAGAATTACAACACATATACAATACAATTCTAATTAGTGATAATAGAAAATATGTTACTTATAAAACTACACACTATTAATTTCAGATTTGGAAAATAAAATTCTACCTTCAACACACAATTTTTTTTGTGATGTTGCAATTATAAATACACACAATAACTACCTATTGATACTGAAGTTACTTTGTTTCATCTCCTCCATGTAAAATATTGTGTACCAGCATTTTTCTATGCCTGATGCTTCACCTCAAAGACGGTGGTCTTATGATATAAAATATATTACTTCTAAAACTTTGTATTATTAAGTCCATAATTTGAATCTGTATATACCCGCACAGGGTGCGGGCCGATCACCTAGTATATATATAAAGTAGAAGACTCTCTTCATAAAGAGAGCCATGCCACATCTTTGAAAGAGGAGCAAATGATGACATGTGTCATCTCCTAAATAATCATTCCATTGTATTTCTTAGTTTTCAAGAACTAATCTTTAATTTGTAACTAAATGGTTTGTTCCTCTTCCTTTTCACTTTTCCGATCTATTTAATTAAGTCATCAAAATAAGAAATTTCAAAAAGTATACAATAAAAAATATTAGCAACTTTAACTGTAATTTTGTAATATTTGAATTATATATATAATTATAAATTGAAGTATTTAAACCGTAGTAGTTGTATTTATACTATTCGTCATTGGAAAACAATTTCATTGAATGAAAGAAAAAAACGTATAATAACGAAATTGTAATATGTTCATTCTTTTCAATATTAAGATAAACATAATTTATAACAAAATAACAAAATATACGTAATGAAAATCAAAATAAGTTTTAATTAAAGTAAACTAATTTTTTTGAAATACCATTAAGATTGATGATATATTGATGCAATTTTTTTATATGCTAACCCGCCCGTAGGCCGGACAAAATACTAGTAAAATATAAATTTCATTGTGATTATATATGTTTTTGTTATTATTTTAGTTGTAAACTTCTACTTTTAAACAATGTAAAGTATACTTTTGTGTATCAGATTCATATAAAATATATATTAAACTTATTGTAATTGTTTTCTTCTTATTTAATCTTTTAACAATTCGATTTTTGATTATTTTTTTCTTCTCTTTGGAACCATTTGAAACATTTTTAGATATGCGTGCTTTTCAAATCCGAAGACTACATACATATATATATATATATATATATATATATATATATATATATATATATCTGATTTTATTAGTAGATTTTTTGGAGAAAGTCTTCTAATTCGAGATCTAATTTCACTGAAAGTTTAGGGGGGTGCATTCAAACTAAAATGTGAACGATTTGATTTTAAATGAAGTTTTAGATGATTTCAATAAGTTGCAGAGATTTATGTGATATTTGTTAAAAAAATTCTAGAATATCACCTAAAACCATGAGATTTGAGTTGTAATTTGTTTAACTTAGAAAATTCACCCAGACATTCTAAAATCACTTGAAAACTTTAAAACTCCACAGCTAAAATAATCTTTAGTAATAGTGAATTTCAGAATACTTTAAAAAATGTAAAGTTCAATAACATTAAATTTTAAATGAATTTTTAAAATTCATGTTTGAATTACATAGATTTGTCAGTTTAATACAAATCACAAAAGTCTTTATAAAATATGCTCTTAAATATTTTGGACAATAGTGTTCTTAATCATGTTTCACTATTAGCTATTGGATGTACAAGTAGAGAAAACTCTTTTTGATCCTCATTTATTTTCTCTTTGTCGTTTATCTTCCTCCAATATTCTGCCTCAAGAAGCCGTAAGGGACTAAGGGTCCTGAACTTCTTATCCCACTGTTGACCAGCTTCTTTGTATGGCAATAACTGGAAAAACAGGTCAGACCCTTTCGAGGTGTAAACATAAAGGAGGGAGGGAGGGAGCTAGGGGGAGGAAGACTCTAGTACTTTTCAGTAGTCTTGTTGGTCAATTGCATAGAACACGAGCTTAAATGCCGTTCAACTCAACTTTCACCCCCAAAAACTAAAAACATTCGTCAGATCAAAGAATACAGTTGATGGTCCGCTTTTGACTGTGTTGTTTTTCTGCGTTAACGACCGTTACGTTAGCAGTTAAAACAACGCTGGATCTCTATATGGGCTTCCTGAAGCCCAATGCTTTTTAACTATTTTATATGAATGTGTTCATTCTTCCAATTGCAATATATACAAACTTTGAATATGAAATCATAAATTGATAAACATGAAAAAACCAAATTACTAACTTTGAATACGAATCTTGAAAATAGAACATTATCACTAGTTAGAGGCCAAGCCTATAGCTGCTGCCTACTCTCCACTTCTGATAATTAGTTACATACACGTCTTATATATAGTAAAGCAATTGAAAATACATTCGGACTGAAAATTTTACATTAGTTCCGACATTTCTAACAAGAAAAGTCTCTCCTGATTGATTATCAATGTCATAAGAACAATGTCATAATAATAATAATCAGTTAAAGTTTTGAGTTGGGAATTAACCACATTCTGAAAATTAAAAGATCTTAATTGGGAACATGAAGAAACCTTAATTAAAAAGGAAGAAGAAGAAGCTATAGCTAGTTATGGGTCACTCCAACATTTGCAGCTGAGCCGTAGAACCCTTCTCTTCCCATGACCACTTCCTCTCCTTCCTTCATTTTTGTTAAATAATTAAATCATACGGTAAACTTAGTTATTATACGAGTGACGACTAATTAACTTTTTAAAACATATGTAAACCCAAAGATAGTAAATAACCTGCTGGCGCATGTTAGCCTTCTTGGTAGGAGGATGATCAGGCATGAGACCAAAGTGTATGTGAGGAAAATGAGCCCACTGTTTCACACAGCACACATATATGTATTTTAAACACCTGAATACTATACATTGTTTGAATTAAACATAAACTTAATTAATACTGTAGCTTTTAAGTCTATTACTTATCTTATATCGCACGGGAAAAGTAATTTCCATATGATTACATTAATTCTCATTTATACCACAGATAAAAACAACGTAGTTTTTGATGTATTAAACATATATAATTAGCATTTTCATATACGTACATAAAAAAGTGATCAGTAATATTCGTATATAACAAGGCTATAAAAGTGATCAGAAATATTTTTATATAACAAGGCTATATATGTGTTTGGGGCTTTGCCTGAAGCCCTAGGCTAGATCCTGATTCATAAGGCTACTCTGATGGTGGACAAGACATATCATATATATGCTGGATAAGACTTATATTCATGGATTATGTACGGTAAGTATAGTTTTTTTTTCTCTTTCTTTCTTTCTAAAGCAACGGAAGAATCAAATTAATTAATGTAGCTCCACCATATCTACAGACTACAGCAGTCAATGTATCTGACTAAAATCTACATATAATATGTATATATACATTCCCCCCACGACCAATTAGTATATATGTATCCTTAACAAAAATAAATATCCTTAACATATATATGTACATACCGAATTTCGTAAAAAAAATAAAGTAAAAGGTGAGTTTTAACCTAAGAAAAGAAAAGATAGAGAGGGTTAGTTAAAGAGGGAAAAAAATGTACATTTTTGGCAGCAGCACTGAAGGCCTCTCTGTGGCTGATATCAGGGTTGCTTGCCTTTATACGTTGGATCTCCTCCCTGTCACCAATTTTTATACATATAGATCTGTCACATCACATCTATCTCTCCTCCCAATCTTAATTATGAGTAAATGATTAATTAGGCAACTTATCCATATTAAGCAAAGAAGAATAAGTTACTTGATGAATCGGTTGTAAGCAGATGGTACTCTTTGTCGCTTCTCTGGGGCTGCTTTCCCACAGCAAACAAACAGAACATATTCAATTTTTAATTTAGAACTCTCTTTTTTTAATTCCCAAAAAATCTAAGAGTTCTAAAAATAAATAATTAATCTATATACAACTATTTTCTCTTTCTTCCTCTCACTCTCACTCTCACTTTGCTCGTTATCATCATAACTTCATCATTATCTTTCTTTCGATCTAACTCCCAGAAATATATCATTTGGCTTCTACAGGTATAGCTAGATTTCCGGGGGATAAAGATACGACTTATAAAACTTTTGCCCAGATATTGTTTACTGTGAAAAAAATGCGAGAGGTCACATAGCCAAGAAACTATAATCAGACTAAAACTCTGAAAATACAAATTAGTAAAAATATAAAGAACGCTATTTTGGGGGCTTCTTTACTGTACCTATGACAGGGAAATTACAAATTAAAGAAGCTAACTAGGAAATGACTGAATAGGGTTTTGTTTGTCAATTAGGGTTTTTCTCTTTATCTGGAGATGTTTTTTTTTTTTTTGCTTAAAATTGATCTGGAGATGGTGAAATAAAGATAAAGAAGATGGAAGGTTACGTCTATTGGCTGGTGGTGGGCGAGGCATTTCCTGCAGATCGACTCTTCCGTTGCGAGTGGCCATAACCAAAGACTCGTTGGAGTGGTGAGCTACTTCTTGATGGCTCATCATCATGTTCATGTTTATATTCTGTCCTCCGTTTCGCATCTCCTCCTAACGAAAAAAAAGGAAACAGAAAAGAAGACTGGTCAATGGACTAAATCGAACCAAACTTCGTTCAAAGTATATAATTAATCATTGTTGTATTCAACAAGAACCAAGGCTAGAAGTTAGATCTAACATGATGTGCTAACCGATTTGGACTATTTCAATAAATTTGTGTTTCTCGAGGATAAGTGAGAAAAGCCCTAAATGCTACTTTCTAATGTTGAAAGCCAAATTAAAAAAAAAAAACTAATATATTTTGATGAATAAATTGATGTGTACCAAGAGATTGGGAGGAGGAGGAGAAGGTAAAAAAGAATGGCCAATGTTTGAAACCGAGGGAAGAAAAAGAGCTCTCATGTTCACAGTCACCGACAAAAGATTTGAGCAGTGGCCGCATCTCACCGTCACGGTCTTGAACAAACTACTGGGAGGAACACTTACCTGCCAATATCACACATTAATATATATATATTCGTTCATATTAAACCCTAGCTTGAAACGGAACCTTGATATACGGATACAAATAGACGAGAGAAGAATACAAATTTACAGCTAGGACGGTGTCGCAGAAGCTGCAATGGACGTAACAAAGGTGGTCTGAAGATGAGATGTGGTCCGGTGGATAAGCTGGAGCTGAGGAGGACGACATCGACATGCTCGACATAGACTCCTTTTGCTTTTCCTTTTTTCAAACAAAAAGAGAAAAGAGTAAGAGAGGGTGTGATTTGATTGAAAAGATATGACTGATCGATCAGATAGAAGTAGATTCTGCTTCCCCCACACCTTTTGACAATCGTGTTAGTGTTGGGTGATGAACAGTACCTTATATATGTTAAGTAGTTCTCTAGAAGTTGAACTCCAGAGAGAGAAGGGAAAGAACGGTGGAGAATTTAGAAGGGAGATGTGGTAGAGAGAGAGATTTCTATTTATGTAAATATGAAGAGACACTGTACCTAAACAATTTGGCAACATGTGATGAAGGGGCCATTATAGAGATAAGCTGCATACCTGCATTCTCATTTACTACTTTTTGAACCGTTTTTTTTTTCAATCAGTCCTTTCCTTCTACTAATTAAACCCGATACATAATCATGCATATACATAAATAATAATCAGATCAAAATCTCCATTCAAAAATAAGATAAAGATAATAATAATAATAATTATTATTGGTGCTTGAAACAGTTTGCTATATATATTTAAATTGTGATCAAGTTGTAGCTATCAGTTCAGAAACAAAAAAAATTCAAAGATTTTTGTAGCTATCAAACATAATACATGTACGACAAACATGCTCACCTTTTTAATCAACTATTTAAGAGCATGTAAGCGGAAAGAACAAAACCTAAACTTGGATTAGTGTGGTGACAGATGTAAGATTTTATCATGGTATTATATATGAGTGTTTACTAGAATCATACACTGTAAATGGAGATAAATCTAACATCAGTCAGAATTGAACATCCATGTTGATGATTCTTAAACAAGTAGAATTTGGTTAAGCATTTGTTACATGGTTGGTACTAGTATATCAGGGTAATACAATTCGTGTTATAGTGTCTCCGAAATATCCGTGGCATATTACACATAGAGTTGGTCAGATGATACAATGGACTCGAAAAAATGATAAGCCCCTCAGGTTTGAAACATACCACTTAGATTTACCCTTTTGTGTGGTGGCATGGATATTTAACTTCCACGTAGAGTAACCGGGCTTTCATGTTCCAGTAGTCCGAGCCTTTGGGTTCGGAAACCCTGAGCTATATAAAAAAATACACATAGAGTAGAGAGAGAGAGCTAGTCAACCATGTTTTGTTTTAACACGCACTTGCAGTAAATCCAAGTCTATAGTTGGAAAATAATAATATTAAGGTCCTTATACATGTTTCTGTGCGAGGAAGAAGAAGATAATGTAAAATAAACGATCATCGGTAGTGAAATGAAATTGGTTATGGTTTGAATTGAATTGGAAGACCATGTTGTTTTCCTTTTTATAAAATGACGCAAAGATCGATGAAGTGGGAGAGAGAGGGAGTAGAAAGGGACGTGTGCATGGAAGTGATTAAGCAAAGGCTCATTCATCAGTTGTTTTCACACTTAATAACGTTTCTGCCACACCACTCTTTCCCTCGATCCGCGTCAATTCCTTGCTTTTTTTTTGTTTTCTATATAATACTCTATCGATATTCCTATGTATATCATTTTGTCATCATTATATCAATTTACCCGCAAGTGCATGTGTGGTTTCACTAAATTCCATAGTGCAGGACCACCATTCTGTGGTAATTTTTCATATCCCGTGGTAATTACTAGGTCATAGTAAACTCAAAAACATTTACATATATGGCAGTTCAATTGGCGATTACCCAATCACGTAGATACATAGAATATGAAAATACACTTGAACTTCTATATATGTTTTTGAAAATTTATAAAGATACTAAGTAATCAGATTATAAACTTTACATAAAGAAACAACACTAAAATTAAATTATAATATATTATCTTAGTTATATATTCCTGATATAAAACAATATTATTATTTCAATCAATCCAATATTTTTTACATTGGTCTAATTTCAATATAGCGAAATTCATTATACTCAAACAACAAAACTCACTATTCTATAATATTTTAATTCATAAAATATTAATTTATAGAAGTTAATTTGTTGATTGTTCGAATAAACAAGTTATAGTTCTTTGAATGTTTGCGAAGTGTTAACAAACAATTTTTATAAATTTCAAATAGTTTATTGAAAATGTATGTAGAACGCTTCCTAAAAACATTTTCAGTGGTATTCTATCTTTTTCTAAACGCTCTTTATATGGGAAAACCATAAAAGCATCTCTAATGATATGTATTTCTCAAGTGAAATGTAGATAAGTGAGCAGTAATATTCTAATATAGAATAATACTATTCTTTTACACTATTTCCAGATTAAAACTTTTTCTTTGTAAGATAATTTATCATTTCTATATGATTTTCCACCTAAATAAAAGTGAATTATAATATTTCACTTAAATATTATGTTTAGCATGTCGTTTGTGTTTTTATTTATGTGCTCTAACTGAAATAATCGTTTAATTTTTAATATATTGTAGTAGTGTTCAATTATTGTTGCAAGATAAAATAAAAAGTAAAATTTTTAACATTTAAAATTATGGCTATTACAATAACTTAATAAAAATAGAGAAATAATATATCTGGAATATTCTTTTTAGACAAAAAAAATAATATCCATTTGAGCAAAATACTTTTCTATTATAGAGTAAAACACTTTTAGAATAAGAAATAGATGCAACTAATGAGATAGTCTATATATCTCACTTAGAATATAATAAATAATAAAAAGTTAGAAAAGAAGATAACAAAAAAAGTTTAATGGGGTTCTAGTCTGAGAAGCTCCATATACTCTTTAGATTTTTAAAGTATTAAACCAGTTATTTTTAAAAACTAAATTAATTATCTTAATTTTTTTTTGTCAATTTGATCACTTTGGACCGAAATCCTCAAACTGAGGTACGGTGGGGTCGAACCCCTAACGCCAGGGTCCGAAGGTAGATCTTAGTTGTCATTTGGCTACAAACAACCCGGCAATTAATTATCTAATTTAGATATTATATTTTCTAAGTGATAAATGGTGCTTTTATACTATTGAGTAAAAAACCATGAATGAAGAGAAAGACAGACATTAAAATCGAGGACGACACAAGGCGTCGAACTTGACTAATTATAAAAGTAATAATCGCAAAAATCCAACAGCTGAATTTAAAGCAAAAAGTTCAGAAAAAAGAAGATCAGCTTATTTAAGAACATATACTGTTTTGTGTCCGATTTGACCATTCATATCTCAACCTACCTTGCTCACAACACACACATTAGCACATATATATGTGTACACAGAGCTAGGCATGTGTAGTTGTCAGCCACGACGGGCGACAGAGATCAAATTTTGGTTTCTTGCCTTCTTGTACTTCCATCGTTTCTTTTATGTTTTCTTAAATAATTTTTAGATTATAAATTTATCTGATTATACTACTCTTTATAAGAATGGTTACAAAATAAATTATTAAATTCATCTTCCTTTCTTTTCCACCGCCTCAATAGGTGAGAGAGAGAGAGGGAGAGCTGTCATTTCTCACACAAACACTTTGGAAAACAATCAACATCCAAGTATATGTGCACGTGTATAGGTCTCTCTTTCTCTCTATGTTTCATTAATATTCCCGTTTCTAGCCACTTCTTCGCCGTGCCACGGTTTTACGTTTCACCAGGCATCATATATCTTTTCAAGGCCTGTACCGAGAACAGATTTACATAATGAATTAACAAATTTCTGTTTCGTTCAGATAGTATTCCTAATATATAATCAACTTGTTGTGATTTATTAAGGATAACATATCCCACATATTGAATTCAAAGAGACTTTAAATAATATATAAACCAACTTTAAGTAATATATAAAACGTTATGACCAATCTAGTAATCATCAATTGGTTTTAAATTAGAAGTCCGTAATAATCTTGAATCTAACATGGTATCAAACCATAAATTGTAAAAAATCCTAAATCCTTAGTTAATTAATTAACTCTTTCGGTCAGATATATAGGTCGTGTTTAACCTTTTACCTAGATATAATTCTTGTATTTGACTCGTTTGAGCCCGTATAAATGTCTTCAAGTTCAAAATTTCTGATAAGAATCATCATTTCAAAGAGGAATATTAGGAATAATTTATTCCACATCGGGATTTTAAAAGATTAGAACTAATACAGTAATCACTAATTGATTTTAAGTTAGAAAACTATAATAAACCTAAATCTAACACGATTTTTTGTTGTTGTCAACTTATACATTTTTATGTATTCGAATGTATATAACACATGGACGAGGTATCAATTAAACGTTGGCTAAACTGAAGAGAGATTGCTTTGACGAGACAGTGAACCATTGTGATACACTGATACAAACTAAATCATAAGTTCATAACATAATAGTCAATAGGAAAACATAACATTATCACGTCACCTAGCTTAAACTAACTGTATCTTTTACCAAAATAAAACTAACTGTATCTTTTACCAAAATAAAACTAACTGTGTCATAATTGCATCTATGTTGCCCAGAGTACTAAAATAAATGTGCTTACACAATGACCTTGTACAACTCTATTTTTACCTTCAACCATTCGCGCTAATAACATGCATATGATTTTTTTTACTGTGATATGTAGTCAAATAGTTTGTCTGCATCATCGCTAGCGCCTAGCTGCATCAATACGTGGATTCAAATACGTGCATATAGTTAACCAAAACACTTATACAAAGACTTTAGTACATATTCTTCATATTTTGTAATCTATAACTTTATGTAGGTTCACTATTTTTCTAATATTTTTTATTCTTTATTATAACACACTTAAAAAGAAAAACATTTTTAGAAAAAATATTTATTCTTTCTATTATTAGGTCTTCTTTGTGATCCAGTTAACTATATAATATATATGGTATATCAGTTTATGTGTTTTTATGTTTACTTTCACTAAAATCAAAACTATTAATCACACATGTCAAAATTTGTGAGGTATTCTTATATTAGTAGTATTATTTTTTTGTTAAAAGATTTATCTATTATGTTCATATTAAACACATCCATTTTATTTAATGAGATGAAATGTAGGTTTCTTATGTAGAACCTATTCAACATTCCGGAGACAACAAAAAATCCTCCTATATATTAAATGAAAAGTCACTTTAGTGATTTCTGGTGATGTGTCGCTCTTAGGTGAAATTTCAAAAAATTGTTATAATTTGATTGGTCGATTGTTCTTAATTTTTATTTATTTAATTTAGATCTAGAAATTTAAAGTAAGTCTAAAATCATTTAACATCATTTGCCATATCATCTAAAGAATATTACAAATAACAATTTATGGAAACTAATTCTCGAAATTATAGAAAGATTAATAGTGTTTTATTTATTACTTTTAATATTTATAAGCTATAAAATATAATGAACGGAATATCATATACGATAATTATAATAGTTTTATACTCTACTTGACTCTACTTGATGAATTGTATTCGAATATAATTATATAATAACTATTTAAATATTAAAAAATCCAAGCATGTTTATTAATATTTTTTAAAATTATTTAGCGTTGTTTAAAGAATAAATTATCTGAATTTTAAAATAAGTTATAAAAAGTTATAAATTATTTATTAAAAAATAAAACCTACTATATATTGATTGAGAAATAACATAAGTGATTTTTGTATTACGTGCATGAATGAACTTTTCAAATTGTTATAATTTGATTGGCCGATGATTTTTAATTTTATTTATTATAATTATATCTTTAGGATAACTCAATTACAACTTTCCAAATAATCTACTTAATTTTAAAAATAGTTATTTATGTTAACTAATTGTTGAAACTATGAAAGAGTAATAATGTGATCAATTTTTATATATTTATAAATTACATAAAATAATAAATAAAAAATTTTATTTGAATTGATATAATGATTTTATATTCATATAGAAAGCCTTATATTTGTATATAACGTATCATAATAACATTAATGTTTAATAAATTTCATGCATGCTTTATAAATCATTTATAAAATTATAAATAAATTTATAAATTATTTATATTGCCTTATCAGATGTTTTAAATTATTATAAGAGGTTCTAAGTCATTTATAGAAGCTTATATATTAATTTTTAAAATGAATTTTTAAAATTTATTTTATTTAAATGAGAACTCACTTAACTAATATTTTAGGTGTCTTTGAGTTTTAGAAAAAATATTATAATTTGATTCGTTAATAAATTTTCTATTTTATTTATTTTATGAGTAAGAAAATCACTTCTAGAACCAATTTTTATCAGTATCCAAACGATATGAATATATTTCATAAAAAAATTTATGGTAATTAAATATGTGATTTATATAAAATATATGTAATGCTCATAAAATCATTTTATTACTCAAGTATTTATGAACTATATAATATATTTCAAAAGTAATTTATATAATTGATATAGTAGTTTTATATTGGGTAAACGATCTATTTCTCCATCATAACTATCATAAAGTAATAAATGCACACGAACTTTGGACCTGATCTTAATTGCACACAATTAAATTATATCAACCTACTTTTCTCCAAAAAGAAAGATTGAAACCCGATTCCCCCTAAACTTTGAAGAATGTACTAATACCAACAAATGACGGTTTAAAGTAGGTTTAGTATTCTTTGTTTTCTGGTCTTTTTAGTTTTTTTTGGGTTCCAAAAGAGGTGAATCGGTTAGGGGAAGATTAATAGAGGTTCGGGTCGGGTTATAATTGATTCGTTTTGGTCAGGTTGTACCAATGTTAATCGAAACCATTGGATTTAATATCAGTTAACGTTATAAACCATTAAAACCAATCTCAATTTTTCCTCTTTGTGGAAACGAGTTTTGATCTTTCATTTTGCGGAGAAATAGGTTTCTATAGTTTAATTGTATGCAATTGGCACGAGGTCCAAAATTCGTATGGATCTGTCACTATACGATAGTTATGGTGTGGAAATAGGCCGTTTACCCTTTTATATTTCTATGTAGTTGAATATGAATATATAGAGAATGTGTAACAATCATATTGTTTTATCTTTTAATCTTAATAAAGACATATGACTTTAGCTATAAATTATTTAAAAATCAAATGTTTCAATACTACATACCTTCAAAACTCATTTATATTAAAAATGAATTATGAATATTATATACAACTAATTTTAGTAAAAAAATTAAATACAAAATATCAACAGATCTTTAAAATATTCATAATCATCTTGTTCAAAAATAATTATTCTTTAAAAATATTTAACAGTAAAGACATAATAATTTTTGATGATGAAAAAATATCTTAATTTGATAAAATATAATAAATATATTGTTACAAAACATTCAAACCCGCAAAATTTTGGATATCCACCTAGTAAATGATTAAATCCTTTGCTGACTATGTATAATCTTTCGTTTAATCTAATATAAATTCAACAGATGACAAAAAAATGTAGAGCCTGTCCAAGAAATAAACGGTTTTGTATATGGAGTTAGATTGGGAGAGAAGATAACAAATTCGGGAGGACATTTAATTCTTAGTATGTTATTGTTTCTTTTCAGTTCAAACAAAGAGAGTTTTAGGTTTGGAATCGAAGTAAATATATTTTTGTTCTAATATTTTAATAACCTATATTTTATCACTTTTTAAAAGATAAAAGTTCTCAAAAAGTAACAAAAAAATATTGTGAAAATTTTATAAACAAAGGCCAGATGTAGCAAATCCATTTCAAAAGTATTTTCTTCCGTTTTAAAATGATTCATGTTTTATAAAAAAAAAATTAAAGGTAAATATTTTTTTAATATTTTAATGTAATTTTTTAGATAATAATGTTAAAAATAAACTTTGAATTATTTTTATTATATTCTTATAACTAAAAATTATAGAATATTTAATCATATAAAATAGTTTATTTTAAATAAAAAGTTAATCAAAATTAATATATTTTATTAATATGTATGAAACACTAAAATTTGGATATTTTGAAATGAAAGAAATATGATTTTAAGACATATGAGCTATTTAATTACGCCGGCCATTCACGCGTTCTCATTAACTTTTTATATGTATCTCATTTTTTTCTGGTCATAAATGTTTCTCAAAATTATAAACACCAAGAGATTTTTTTTTCTCAAAATTATAAACGACGGCAATGGAGACCTAATTTACCAAAAAAAAAAGGAAAAATCAAAGATTCACTATGGAAAATCATCAACAAGGCGATACCAGTAAGCTCCAATTTAGAGACTCGAGGTGTCCTGTCCTTTCCGTGTAAGCGATGCGGAGGTTATGAGGATGATCTCCATGTCTTCAGCACATGTCCCTTTGCAGAAACGGTTTGGGACTCTGCTCCCATTGATCTCATACCAGGATCTAACTCCCACTCGCTTGCTACCATACTCATTGATGGTCGCAAGATGATAAACATGCCCCCTGTGGGCCTCTCAATGCCTCTATGGCCATGGATACTATGGAATTTGTGGAAATCACGTAATAAATTGTGTTTTGATAACAAATCTTTCTCGGCTATGGAGGTGATTCTCAAGTCAATCAGCGATGCGAAAGAGTGGCAAGCAGCTCAAAAAACAGAGGTCTTGCATGGACAACAACATGTGCACGCCCCAATGGTGACAAGAGCTCCGCGTCAAATCTCGGGACCATCCTGCTGGATAGATGCAGCGTGGAACCCTGTCACAGAAACTTGCAGTATAGGAGGCATCTTCAAGAAAAATATCTCACCGCTGTTGCCAATCATCAGATTCACCCAACGTTCTATCTCTTCAGCATTAATGGCCGAAGCCATTGCTGTCCGTTCTGCATTCATCAGAGATGCGTCGTCAAATATTAAATCACTTACTGTTCTGTCCGACTCCAAAGTTCTCATCTCACTGGTGAACGCTAAGGAATCAAGGCCAGCTCTATTTTGTTTGACATCTTTCACTTTAGTTCTTGTTTTAAAACTATCTCTTTTGTATTTGTTCCTCGGCTTGAAAACTTTGAAGCTGACTCTGTGGCAAAGTCAACTTTGGCTCTAGTACACAATCCCTCTCCTTTTGAGTGTAGGCTATCTTAGCGAATGCAATTGTTGTTTGACCAAAAAAAAACATTCACAGCTTCTTTGACGAACTTGCTCTCCTGTTTCACCTTCATCAAATATTTAATCAGATGAATTTGATTGAATTTGTAAGAGAGAAAAAGAAAAAAAAAGAAACAAGATTGTGTAAAATGTGGGTTCTAATAGAAGAAATAGATGGGCCTCTTTAGTTATTTATACTCTCGATGGACATTACAAAAGTGTTTAGAGATAGGAGGTGAAAGGGACTTTGGTAGAGGGGAGCCAAGAAGCAGCGTCGATGAAGTTGTGTATCGTAAACTGACGGGCTTCCTCACTATCTGATATCACATGAAACCCGGCCCAATTAACCCGGTTCGCTGTACTCGAACCGGGACCTGAGTTTCCATACTCCCCATAATACAAAGTTGTAAGCGCCGTCTCGTTACCCCAGTCCATCCATCCTTTGGGTTCGATCAAAGGACCAAGAAACGTCCCCATCACCACGGTCACAGCATACGAGCCCCATGGACGGCCCAAGTACGTCCTCACTCCTCCTCCCAGTTGTGCCCCAGGGGCTGCTCTCACCAACGAGTTATGGATCACGATTCCTGTCGTCTGATTCGGGTTCCTCCGGTTCTGTGCGGTTATGGTGTTGACTCTGTTGGGAGGGCTACGTGCCAATATACTGCAGTTCTGGAAGACTGCGGCTGCGTTTCCGCATATGAAGTCGACGGTGCCGTATATGTTGCACTCTCTGAAAAACTGACGCCCTGAGTGGACGTATAGCGTGTCTTGATACCCTTGGATGCTACACCTGTAATACACTGACCTGTCCGAATCCGATCTTAGAGCTACTGCCTGCTTGTTCTCCGGCCCCGCCGTGTTCCTGATCGTCATGTCTCGCGCCACAAAACCATCTCCATCGGCCACTGTCATCAGTTTTATTACAGTTTAATTTTCAGTAAAAAAAAGTGTCAATAATGGATCAGTTTTTACTAACCAAAAGTGGCGGATTTGAAAGTGGAAAATCCTCTGCCTTTGCTTTTGTCGCCTGTGATGATGGTTTTGCCGATACCGTCTCCAAAGATCATGATGTTATTGGATTTGATTCCCACATTGACGTATTCCTGGTAAACACCTGCTTTGACGTGTATGATGTACCTTGTGCTTCCTCTGGGCCTCTCTCCCGCACCATCCACCGCCTCTTGTATGGTTTTGTAGTCACCTGAGCCATCTTGAGCCACCACTGCATCCGGTGATCTTCTGCTTATTGACGGCGTTTCCACTGCTACTTTTAATATCCCCAACTCCCCACCTAAACCGTTACCGTTTGCCTCCATCCCCTTTTTCTTCAAAAAAGTTACACTTTCTGATTAAACAAAACAATTGAGTTGTATTTTGAAATGAGTTACCTTGCTAATGGCCAAGGTGTTAGTGACATCATTGGTTATGCCATCCAAAGAATCAAACGAGACACCTAGCTCTGACATCCCTTCCCGACACGTTTCTAGGTTGGTCAGTGCGGTGCTGAGCCATGCCTGCACATCCGATCTAGAGCACACGTAGTCCGGACATGACACGCTCTGGTTAAGCCTGTGGATGGTCCGGTCGAACAATTCCATACAATCCTCCCAAGCTCCCTTTTCAAGTTGCTTTGAATCAAACTGTTCCCCTAGAGAGTAGGTGTCGTTCTTGGCTTTCACGGCTCCGTTTAGTGTTCCTTCCATCGACACCCTAAGGAACTCCTCCGTGCTCCCTATGGGTTTCTGCGTAGGATGTTGGATCAGAAGTGTGTTGCATTGACTCGGGTGCGGCGTTTGATCGCACATTTCATTTCCAAGAACCATTGAGGTAACAACACAACTAATAAGAAAGGTATAACATTTTACAATTACTCCTCTATACCCCATCGTTTTTTTTTTTCTGTAATGAGTTAACATATGCATCATGATGTTTTTTTTTTATACATTTCTTTTACAAATGATAATAAGTTACAAAACTAGATTGTCTTTAAAGCGGGAGTTAACACATGGTATAGCAGTTCTAAACGTTGTTAATTAAATTCTTGTTGTGGTTATTGTTCAACATTAAGTTTTTATATATAGCAATGATTTTAAAAAGTGGCGCTATAATACATACTCTTATATGTATGTATGTCAAGACCAATAAATGTAATATATCACAACTTGTGAAGAGTGTCACTCATATTATCCGCAACTAAAACGGAATAAGAATCATAGGAAATTGGCAGTTATAGTACAATGAGTAAAAGAAGCTCAGCTCATGTTGTTTTCTAAAGGACCGATGATAAAATTGGCATACAAGAAAAGAAAGTATAGTATAATTCAGCTTCAACAATCCCATCTAAAAGATTGTTCGGACGGCACACATAGTTAGTCCGAAAGCATAATCTTCGACCCTTGAGCAGGTCGGGAAACTCAGTGGGCAGGTAAAGATACGTTGATGTCAGTGTCTGAGCTTCTCGGGTTGTCATGTCCGTTGGTCCAGCTGGAAATGTCGAATGAAGATGGCAGTGGCTGCTCCCTATCTGTGTTTGACGATGAGAAGACGGAAGCCGGAGGAGGAGGGGGTGGAGGCAATGCCATGACCGTTGATGAGGTAGTATGTTCGACTCGTTGCTTCCTTGGTGGCTTCTTATGTTCTTGCTGATCACCCGTTACAAAACTGCCAACAACAACCTGTTTTTATTTTAAGGAAACACAACAAACTTGGTGAGAGACGATTTCAAGAATATAAAAGTCTAAATGATTCAAAGGGTGACCTGAATAGGAGTGGCTGCAATGAGCAGGCCAGCCACGCCGCCACCAACAACACGACCATCAGGACCCGCCAAAGAGACACTCATGCCACCAGACCTACCTCTTGAACCTTGATTCTCTGTTTCCGTAAAAGTACCAGACAGCGACAATATCTCAAACCGACCCTGCCAACAAAACAAGCCATATATAAGTCTCTTTTTTCCTCTATCTGATAACTGTAGATTAATGGAGTAGTGCGACAAAGAAAACCTCGTAGGTAAGAGTACCACCGCAGGAATCGGGGTGGCGAAGAGTGACGTTTGAAATCACTCCATTAGCTGATAAAATACAAATAGCTCGTGGTCCTTGTTGCGAAAACGAGATGACTCTCATGTTAATATCCTTCAGCCATATAAATAAAAAACATTATACAAACGAAAAATCTCCGCTTCTCAACTGAAATCCAAGGCCTTTTTTTGTTTGCTTTCGTAATACATACCTCACCAGCATTTACTGTGATTATATGTGGCGTGAAATTTGATCCAACACCACCCCCAAACCTTTCACCTGCAACAGAATATTCAATGATCCAAAATAATATTTGGGTTCTTTTGCATAATCAATAATCTTTATGCGGTTTTGTAAAGCAAAAACTTATTATATGTTGTACGATAATGATGAAAGCCAAATAAATATGCAATTATTTATACTTGTTCAAATTTAACAAGAGGAAAAAACTTAACACTTAAGAGTAATTTCTATATTATGTAACATCGTAGTTCTTTATGCATCTCAAGAAAACCTTCCTCGCAACTACATGCAAAAGAGCCAAGTGTTATCCAATTTTTTGCCATATTAATTAAAAAAAAATTTAGGCCAAATAAACAAAGCGCTACCATACACAAAGGAACTAATCTTATGTGCGAATTGAATGATATGAGGAGATCAAGTTTAACTAGTGTGTTAGATTGAGAGGTTACCAGATGTATGGAATCCTATCCTCTTATGCATCTTCATATCTAAACCATTAAGCTTGCCTCTTCCACGTTTCTTCATCACAAGAGGAGCAGATGAAGAAATTTGCACGGGCAAATTAGTTGCTCCATTAGCTTCATATTTACGAGGTCTGCCTCTCTTCTTCTTCTCCAAGGGTTCCCCTGAACCCACACTAGCCATTGGAGCTCCCATTGGAGAAAGAGATGACCCAATGAATTGGTTAGGGCTCTCAGATAGTCTGGGGGCCATATGAAACGTAGATGGAGCTTCTACTCCCATCACAGTCACTCCAGAGCTGATTCTATCGCTTGTTTCCATTTTCAGACTCTGCCAAAGTTGTCTTTCCTTTTTTCTTCTTCTTGAGAATCAAACTCAGCAGGCCACAAGAGAAAATACTACAAAAGACAAGGAAACCAAAATTTATAGTCGCCACAAGGTAACGATGGATGCACATGATATAGAAGTTTCAGCAGTTTCATTTCTAATCCCACTCTATTTTTTATTATAAATAAAGTTTGAAGTAAAAAAACCTTAACCCTCTATGACCACTTGAGTTCAACTACACTTTCTTAAAAAAAAATGTTCAAAATTCCCCAAGTTGGCTAATTATGAAGTTATAATGTACATCTTTGTTATGTAACACTACAAAGTGAAAATCTGAAAAAAAAAAAAAAAAAAACCTACAAAGTGAAAATCTCAATAGTTCATTGCAAGTTAATTTCTTTGAATTTTCTAAAAATAAGATAAACACAAATAAAGAAATAACGAAAAAGAAAAAGAAAAAGAAAAATACAGATCAGAGTCTGGACAATTTGAATAATCAGGAGATTAGAAGCAAAATCCTTTTATAGAGGCAAAATCATAAGCATTGAGAGATCTCACTAAAACTAAGAACAGAGAAAGGGGAGGACCTGAAGCTTTGTTATATCTTAACTCTTTCACGTTCCTCTTATCACTGAAGTTTCCAAAAGAGAAGAACAGATTTCTCCTGCTCAAAACCTCACGCCTGAAATATATTTCCCAACGGAAAAGAAAACAAGGAATACTAACTGACGATGACTGTCAACTTCCCAGCAGTCCAAACTGCAAACGAAGCAGAACGAAAAGTATCACAAGAGCGTGAAAATTTTAACGTCAAAGATGAGAGAACTCGAATTTTTTCAGATTTTCAAGAGATAGTATAGAAAGTAAATATATATAAAAAAATCCAACAAAATTATACTATACGTATACATTAAATAATATAGTAATTATGTTGTCGTTAAGACCGACGACAGTGAAGTTAAAAAAAAAAAAGACCGACGACAGTGAGTTTTGGTTGATAAATACTTTCACGTCCGGTTTAAAATTTCAAATAGCAACTTCCCTTGGCTATTTATTACGTGTATCTAAATGAAAAATTATTTTAAAAATATCATATGAAAAAATAAAATTTATATTCTTTATATATAGGGGATTTAGTTTGATATGAAAAATTGATATGCTATAAAACTAAAGAACCAACATATCTACTTTTAAAACTATTATTTATGTAAGGTGCTTTAGAATTCTTTTAAATGAGATATAGAAGGCTACACAACTACCACATAGGATAAGTTTTTTATTTAAACGTTTTACAAAATTTAGGTTATAAATACTTACAAAAATCCTCAATTAATATATAGGGGATGTGTGTTCAATGAAAAAATGCAATAATTACATTTCTCTTAGTACAATTTAGAAATTCAATGTGTATTTTCTTTTATATAAAAACTACGATAAGATCCGTGCTTTTCGCGGAGTGGGTTTAAAAACTAAAAATAAAAACATTTAGTTATGAGAAAAATAAATTGATATGCTGGTCAGTTTGTAAATTAAATAGAATTTGGGATTGTTTATATAAGCATTTATAATTGGTGGGGAATAAGTTGAAAATATTGTGGATCTTGTTTTATATATTATTCATTCGCGAATTTGTTATACATAGTAAAATCATACAAATAAAATTGTGTTTTATTTTCTTTCCCTAACTTTTTATATAAGATCTGCGCTGGATAAATATTTTATCTACAAACTATATCTTTATACTGTTATTTATTTATATTTTCTACATATTATGAAATAATAAATAAGAAATATATATACTAAATAACTTAGAACTCAATCACTATTACGTATATAGATAATTTGGTGTGTGAAATTAAATCAGACGATCACTCTTATTATTAACAATTACTTATGGTAAATAAATCAAAACAAAATTTTTTATATATCATATATTAGACACAATAAATTTAAATGACATTAACAATATCTATAATATATTTTTAATTTCAATGTTTAGTAGATGAATTTTCTCATTATAAGATTTTATGGTTATTAATATATTTTTATAACAAAAGTTTGAACTATTAAAAATTGAATGAAAATTTTAAAATTAAAATATTAAATTCTCAATATTTTTTCAATGAAAATATGAAAATATAAGTATCTATTTTATATGATATGCAATTTAATTTAAATTAGATATATGTATTAATATAAACATATTAAGTAAGAGTAAGACTTCTTCTCATGTATTTTTTAATTATTTGTATCTTATTATAGTAAAATTTTAAACCATTGATCACAAAAATTTATTTGATACTTTTAACAGTTTAGTAATTTATACCCGTTTTAAAAAATCCTCAAATACAATATATACGAAAAAAATATAATTTTTTATTATATAAAAACTGTAACTGTGTAATTTATTTTAATAACAAATATTTAAACAAAAATGGTAGAGGGTATACAACTTGTTAGCAAAACTTTATTATTGAAATAATTAATTTTCATATATATATTTTAGTCATATTAGGTAATTCCCTAGTTTTTATTTAAGGAAAGAATGAATAATATTTTTTTAAGATTAATAAGATATGCGAATAAGATATGCGACCAACATCTTTCTAGTAAATATATGTTTAAACTATGTTATATGTAAGGTGATCTAGAATTGTGTTAAAGTAGAATTTAGAAGACAAATAGATATGCCACATAGGATTGAGGTTATTTTTAATTAGGTAATAACTTGCGCCTTGCGTGGAATGAGATTATTATTTTTGTTACTTTTAGAGAAAATATGATATTATGTCTATTTAGCATGAATATTGTTTCAGTTTTATGTTGTTTTTTTAATCTCCTAAAATATTAACATTTTTATAAAGTTTTCGTATCATACCAAAAATTAGAAACAAAATCAATTTAGTAGAAAAAAAATCAGACATCAGAAAAGTTTTAAAAAGAAATAAAAATCACAAAATCGATTAAAAACAAAATTTAGGTATCAAGTGAAGATGTCACTTTGTAATATATATTATTTTTATTCTTTACGGGTTAGTTTGATATTCTTAATATGCAAAAATGTTATTAATTCTAGGTTTATTTTATTTTTACTTAATTTATTTAAGAATTTACTATCATGTGTTATTCTGAATAATTTTTTTTTAAAATCTTAATTAATGGTATATTCATATATTTATCATTATATTTATATACTTTTACATATACATACATCTATATATTGACATGAGCGACTATGTAACTAAATATCCACCACAAGTGAGAATTTTAATTAGTGAGATGTAAATCATGTAATAATTTGATAAACAATCAGAATAACAAATCGTTTTGTTATGAAGAAAGAGGAGAATGAGAGAAGTAATGGGGAATTCTCTGTGTATTACTACTGAATGAATAAGGTTCCTTTATATAAGGATTACAAGAAGAAGATAAATGGAAAACATCCAATTCCTAAAGCAACAAGGAATTGGAAATACATAAGAATGGAAACTACATATGGCCGCCTATGTCTAAGTCATTGGGCCTCTNAGGATTACAAGAAGAAGATAAATGGAAAACATCCAATTCCTAAAGCAACAAGGAATTGGAAATACATAAGAATGGAAACTACATATGGCCGCCTATGTCTAAGTCATTGGGCCTCTATCTTCTTGGTCTTGAGTAACCTAGGCACGTGGGCCTTAAGGTCTATGGTTATGGCTCATCCACATAATACTTTATAACACTCCCCCTTGGATGACCAAACCATATGGGCCTGTACCATGCTTAATGTTGCCTCGTTAAAACCTTCTCTAGGAAAACCAAAAACCTGAGGTGGGAAAAATGGAAACCTCAGACAAGGAAAAAGAGTACAACACATGATACTCCCCCTGATGAATGCATCACTGAAATGTCTGATGCATTCCAATCTGGTCGGTAGAAAACTGGTCGGCTAGGTTGCTGCTGGACCGAACTCGAACTTCTGATATCTTCTGGAAAAACTCATGTGTGAGTACTACTTTGGTCTGGACGTCTTCTATGTCTTCTGGAACTCCATTAGGACTTGGTTCAGTCGTGAAACTAACCACTCTATGTCCTGGTCGGATGGCTGGTACTCGACCAGTACTCGGATGGAACTCTAATATGCGATCAGTCATTACTTCGCTGGTCCACACATGTCCCACGGATCATCTTGTCATATGGCCTTTCCATACCGTGGACACTTCATATATATTGAGTCATAGACCCAAAACACTTGTCTTTCATGTGGATACCTTAGTCCACACAGACATGCCTTTCTTTGTCTTGACCGTACTAGGTTCTGGTCGGATAGGTCTCGACCAAAACACATTCATGAACTCTATGGTCAATCTTTCTTGCCTTCTGCAATGCTATAAACTTTATGCCACGACCATACATACTTCTGGTCACTCTCTTGGTCATTATGGTTCTTGTTTATCCATTGATAAACACATAATGGCTCATACTTGCATTGCAGTCCCATACATGAATCAAAACCATCACAACACATGTTTTTCTTTGATGGTGTCTCATGACCTTTCTTGCCATGAACTTTACCACGTGCTGGAGTATAAGGAACATGAACAAGTCTACCTATGGACCTTGTTCACACACGTTCATAACTTGCCAATGAGTGTCTAATACATTGCTGCCCAATAATACTCATAAAAGATAAGTTCGAATGGAACTGGGCATGGCCATGGTTGGCATGAACCTTTGGCCAAGGTATGTCCACGACATAAAACCTTTCTTGGACAATGTCTAAGTCCTTCTTGGTAACTTTAGATGGTAAACATGTATCTAGGACTAGTATGGCTTGCTAGATACACTAAAACTCTTAAGATACCGAAATATGGCACTTTTAGATGAAGGACCTCTTCCTTGTCTCTCTTTGGACTACATCCACGGTTTTGGTCATTACCAAAACTCTTGACAACCTTTCTTAAATGCCATATGATACACACAAGGATTACATTCAAGTAGTAAACCCAAACAGAATTCGTTTTATACCTAGGTCTTTTAATCTCTTGTAATCTCGAGATTTCA